GAACCGAGACTGATGAGGGTCGAACTGCCAAATTACAGGTAGCCAGCAGTCAGCTGAAGTACCCTGCAGTGCTGCATTTAACCACTGCGCCACCTCGGCTCTTGAGAGCTAAACTGGGAAGGAGGTGAAGAAAGCAAAAACTAGTCCTTCAAAGGGATCAGAGCCAACAGTTCCTTTGCAAGCAGCTCTTAGACTAAGCCAACATAATCCAGCATAGATGTGACCAGGACTGTCCTACATTTATTATAATTGCTACTAGCCAAAGAGACTGGAATTCTGTCACATACTTTTCCTGATAAAATCTTTCCCCAAGTTGAGATTTGCCATAAAGGAGACAGGGGAACAATGATTTCGCTTTCAAATAAATATGGACCTTACCAATCCCAATAATATATAAATCTACTCCCACCCTGACTATTAATTAAACACCAACCAACACACATAAAGAACCTAATTAGCCTTCTCCTGCATCACATCCATTTAGTCCACAGTTCACTTATCAACAAACAATGAATTAGGAAATTGACTGAAAGGTAGGATTTATTTTAAATCTTTGTTGAAATCATTCTTTCCCTGATTTTTTTTTATTGGGCCATTCTGGACAATCCAGCTGCACTCCACCAATGCATAAAAAGACATTAAGGCTTTGCAGCATAATGGCTCGTTGGCCAAAATCCAATGGCTTGTAAAGCTGCTCTGAATTCTCTCCATGTGCTAATTGGCTTTTAACAAAAATATATTGTAACTGAGAGCCCACATATCAAAGCTATATTTATCTGCTGGGGGAATAAAGATCATAGGCAAGCTCACTTCCATTGCATAGAATAAAGACAGCAAAATAACAATAAGGTCGCAGATAAGTGTTCATTTGGAGGGTGCAGAAGCTGTAAAATAGTTTTACTTCGTAAATTATTTGCGGGCAGGTCTGTATTAGAAAGAAATACCTTTGAGGGGGGGAACAGAGGACAACACACCTGAGTTTTGGATAATTGCCCACTCACCAACTAGACTTGGCCTACCAAATGCTCATTTCCCACCGTGCAGAGTAAGATCAAGGGATAAGGAAGGTAGAGGGAAAGTGCTCAACAAAAGGCAGGATGAAGAAACGGAGCTTGGATTTTCATTGCTGTGCACCTGTTTGAGCAACTTGCTTTTCTCTAAATCAGGGATGTCAAAATCCCAGCCCATGGTCCGGTTGCATCATGTGTTGGTCATGCCCATACCTAGTTTAGGAAATGGGGGGGAGTCCCAATATGCCACGATGACAAAACCGAGCTCGACTAAACCGCGCCCGACTGAACCGTGTCACTGACGTCATCAACAGGGCGACAACAGCACGGAGACAGACGCACGCTGTAAAACCTAAACCTAAAATTAACCCCTAAACCTAAACCTAACCTCCCTAAACCTAATCCTAAACCTAACCCTAAACCTAACCCTAAACCTAACCCTAAACCTAACCCTTAACCTAACCCTAANTGGGTGCATCTCGGTACACCCAATATCGCTTGCGCGACTGCATTCTGGACTAGCTGCAGTCTCCAAACACTTTTCAAGGGTAGCCCCATGTAGAGCGCGTTGCAGTAATCCAGCCATACTGCATACTGGGTGAGCGATACTGGTAGTCACCACTACAGCTAAGAATGGCTTAAGGCAATAGCACTTATATACCGCTTCATAGTGATTTACAGCCCTCCCTAAGCAGTTTACAGAGTCAGCATATTGCCCCCAACAATCTAGGTCCTCATTTAACCAACCTTGGAAGGATGGAAGGCTAAGTCAACCTTGAGCCACTCAGGATCGAACACCTGGCAGTGGACAGAGTTATCCTGCAGTACTGCATTCTAACCACTGTGGCACCACAGCAATTTCGTTCATGGGAAAGGGACAAAATGAAGACAATGAATGGACAGAAATAATTAATTATGTGCCATCCAGTTAACATCAACTCTTAACAAGCAGCTAGATTTTACTCATGGTGATTCTGATCCTCCATGTCTTCTAAGCCATTTAATTTTCTTGGCATCATACAGAAGAGATCTAACCTTGACTTCTTCCAGGATGGTTTTTCAAATTCTTGGGCTAGCCAATAGTCCTGCAGATTCCTGAGGGTCTTCTATCCAAGCACTTATGAAATGTGATCCTTCTTAGCTTGTTTGAGACTAACCAAATGTCAAGGAACACAACAGATGCCAACAAGTAGCAGTGTAGAAAATTGTATGACATCAAGATGGTGACACATCCATAAGGACATCATCATACACATGTCAAACCCTGCATCCCTTGCGGATGCTGATGGATAGATGTCAAGCTATAAATCTCAGTGCCCCCAAACCCTTTGAATCAGACTAAACACATTCCAAAATATATTTACTTATTTATTCAATCATTCATTCAATTCCTATAGCCATCCATCTCAATCAATGACTGTGGGTGGTTTACATTGAATGGACTGAAGTCTCCTCTGAGGTCCAAATAATAGAATAATAGCTGATGATTTGGGAGCCATTTCACACTTTCTTGTCCATTGATTGTTGCGTTATCTGGTTTTTACTCTGAGCTGAACGGGGTGACTAATTCCAATGAAAATCACTTTAATTTGAGAAGCAGCAAATGATCTTTCTGTTCAGAATACAGTTGGCTACCACAATAGCAATAGCAGTTAGACTTATATACCACTTCATAGGGCGTTCAGCCCTCTCTAAGCCGTTTACAGAGTCAGCATATTGCCCCCAACAACAATCCGGGTCCTCATTTTACCCACCTCGGAAGGATGGAAGGCTGAGTCAACCCTGAGCCGGTGAGATTCAATCTGCCAAATTTCAGGCAGCCGGCAGTCANCCGGCGCCCCTCCTCCTTGCCCCCCCTCCAGCACCGGCTCCCCCCCACCGCCCGGCGCCCACCTCACCTCCTCATCGCGGCCCGGGTCTTCCGGGGTGCCGCGCGGGCTTCCGGGAGCGCCCCCATTGGCCGGCGCCGCGTCCCCCGGAGCCCGCCCCCAATCCTACGTCCTACGAGGCCCCCTGGCGGTGGGCCGGCGAAGGCTCAGCAAGAGAGAGAGAGAGAGGCGTTTGGAAAGCAACTCTTTTATTGAGGGGTTACAAAAAGAAGCGGGTGGGGGGGGGGAGCTCAATCGAAGGTGATGCGGAAGCTGCGCTCCTGCTCCTTCCGGCGGCCCTCGCAGACCTTGGACATCTCCTCCACTTTCCTCTGCAGCAGGGCTGTGGACAGATGGAGAAGGAGTTGGCTGGGGATGGGTGGGGGGGCTTCCACCCCTCTACAGCTACAAGCTTGCTCTTATGTGGGCAGAAAGGAGGCGACTGGCTGAAAAAAAAACCCCATCCCTTAGCAGAAATATGGGGAACCCCAAGAAGTGAAAGAGGAAGTCCAGAAAGGCACAACTGCCACATCAGAATGGGGTGAGGGGATGGGGTTAATCCTGGACTCAAACACCTCCCCGGGCCATGATACTACACCTGGCTATGAAAAGGGGGGCTGCCGCTCCCTCAGAATTCAGAAATACCTGAGTTCTGATCAATCCACTGCAGAGAATCCATGTGTGCGTTCAGAATTTTGCAGATCTGCTGAAGCTGTGAAAGGGGGTGGGAGAAAAAACCCGCATTCTGGTGAGGAAATGGCTCCCCTGCCTCCATGCCAACCAAGGACATCCCTCCCCCATTTACATCGCATTCCTCAGCAAGGGGGCAGCCGAAGTATTTGCTCCAGCAGACGTGACGATTCAAAGCACAAAATTAAAGCACACCCCCCCAATCCTCTCCCCCCCGCACAACGAGGGTACTCACGGGGTCACTGTTGTCAGCAGGGCCCCCGGAGGTGTTCAGGTGCTCAATGATATCTTTCAGATCTTGGGCCATGCGCTTCAACTGGGCATCGATGTTCTCTGCCAGCTTGTATCTGTAGTACAGGAGCAAAGGATGCTCAGTGGCAATGAGCTGTGTGCAACGGTGCCCCTGCCCCCTACAGAACGGGCAAGAGGGTGAGCAGCATCAGGAGAGACCCAGCTGGAGGGACCATAATGCTCAACCCTGAGCAAAAGGAGCTTTGGCTACAGGATGTCAATGGCTGGACATCAACCCCTCTTTGCTAAAGCCTTCAACGTTCCCCTACTGAGATGGGTCAGCCATGCAAGTACAAAGACAGCCAAGGAAATGACTGGAGCCTGAGAAACGGGGCCCTTTGTCAGTCAACGGGAGTGCTGATTTACCATCAGCTTATCTTAGTAAGGTGGCAGGCTGAACCGAAGTAGGCCCCAAGCCTGAACCAAACTAGGGTTTCATGATATTAAGCTTGAACTGTTCATATATAAATAGCAAAGCTTGCTTTTAGGATATAGTGTGGTTAAGACATGAGTTATCGCATCAGCAGAAAGGAAGTCTGCACCCAAAATACGCTGAAGTAGGGAATCTATTTTAGCCCATCCGCCTGCTTGGCCCTTAACTTATTAGACATATATTGTTAGGTCCTCAAAATACTAGATGTGCATGTCCGTTGGCTGACCCATGTATCACGACATCCTGTAGACATATTATTTCTGTAACTCAAGGGCAAATCCTGAGGTGTTTCCAAAACTAACAGATGGCTTATGGCTGGATGTGGTGAACGCGTCATCACCACTATATAAGGAAGTTCCTGAATCCCACTCGAGGTTCAGGCCATTTACTCTTTGCTCTGAACCTGCGCAAATAAACTTTTCCTTCTCTAAAGAGCTGGCTTGTGTCTCGTCATTTCCTACAACATCTTATGGCGGCTCCGCTGGGACACTAAGCGAGGCGATGTTTCGCTGAGGGCAGCCTGACCCCTCGGACCCTGCGGGGGAGGAGCCGAGGACTTGGCAGCACAAGGAAACAGGATGGACTCCGACACAAGTCTGAAATACTCCCCCTCTGGTCCTGGGTGACGGACCCAATTGGATCCCCACCAAAGGAAACCAAGGAAGGGCACGAGGTCAGCCAACCGATCCCTCCAGGAGAAAGGCCCGCCTTCAGGGATGCTCACGTCTTTTCCCGTTCCTCGTCCGCGTGTTGCAAGTAGATTGTTCCACTCTGCTCCTTCACAGATTCCTCCAATGGGATCAACAAGTCCTCCAGCTCCTTTTGCTGAGACAAAATGAAGTCCAGCTCCTGGTCCAGCCTACGAGGGAAGTGGGGGAAAGGAAGGAAGAGTATGATAAAGGAGATGGCACCCCCTTTCTCCTAAAGCAGCCAGTAGGGACAAGCCCTCCCCGCTGCTCCTGAAAAGCCAGGGAACCAAAGCCAATCCTAGTCTTTTTAAGGCCCAATGATATGATTATCCTACACTATTATGCTCATATTTATAAAACTCAGTGCCTCTGTGAAAGGTAAGGATGACTAC